TCCTTTCAGCGGACTCCCTCCCAATTAGGGGTCACGGACTAGGACCATTTAAGTTTCACAGAGTTCGATCTCCTTCTCTCTTACTTCGTGGTGCCGACACAGAGTCGACCTACTGCCCAGATAACAAAATGTACTTGTTTTTCTGCTTGGATTGACACATGCGCAGAAAGAGAAAAAGTCACTGAGCAGGACAGCAATACATCTTCTGTCCTGCTCTCAGTTGCTCACACTTTCCACACACTGCTTAGATGGGTTATTCCTACTCCAGTATTATAAGTTCTATGGTCATGCGCATGACAGTTGTGTCCTCATTTGAATACCATATTGCTCTCACGAATGCGGACGCGCACAAAAAAAAATTAGACTTCTTTCTCCATCATTTGTGTCCTCCCGTACTGAACAGACTAATATAATATCCTAGGAAAAACTTTTAAGCCTGATAGGATTTGAACTCGTGACTCGATCCACGGTCCAGTTCTGAGTCGTTCACCTAACATACTGCTACCTTATTGACAGAGATGTTTCGAATTGCCTATATATACTTTTAATAAAAATATTTTGTCTACCCAAACAGATTATTTTGTTAAATTACTAAAAGAACACTTATTTTGTAATATGGCAACAAAATTTTACCTTGTTATTTACAAAAAGTAAGTAAGCAAATTAAAATTATAAAAGTTAAATATACCTTCCAGGTCAAACAAATAATGAGCTATATTTGTTGTTACTATTAAACAAATTTATTACAATCGATAAAATTAACGCAGAACGTTTCGACTTTACAAAGTCATTCTCAGCTGCACCTGAGGATAAAATTGAAGTTATTAAAGACACTTTTAACAACATACATAGACGGTTGCAATTTACAGTAGAATTTGAACAAAACCACATGATCAGCTTTTTGGATTTGTTATTAATTGTGGAGGATGGAATTGTTAAACTTGATTGGTTTCATAAAAAGACTTTCTCTGGCAGATATCTGTCGTTTTTATCAAATCATCCTACTTGTCACAAAATAGGCACTATATATAGCCTTGTAGACAGGGCGATTTTATTATCACATCCTGAATTTCAACAAAAAAATTTAGAGCAGTGCATTATAATACTTTTACATAATGGGTATCCTATAGACTTCATCTTTAAATATTTTAACAGAAGAATAAAAAACTTGATTCAATCCAAAAAAAGTATGTCCACAATTAATGACAATTCCAATAACAACAATAATGTAGTAAAGAAATATATGGTACTTCCGTTTATTCATGGTATAACACAATCAGTTACTAATATGTTTAATAAATCACTTTATAAGATAGGTTACAGATGCTTGAATAAGTTAGATATGTTTATAAAAACACTCAAAGATAAAAAAGAAATAGTTAACAATAATAATGTTGTATACAAGATCCCATGTAAAAATTGTGATGTAACCTATGTGGGACAGACTAAAAGAAAATTGAGCACAAGAATAAAAGAACATATGAATAATAAAAAGCTTGATCAGTCTAGACATTCGGTACTAACCAACCATATTTTACAATGCAATCATGAATTTGATTGGAATAATACTAAAATTATGGATTATGAACCTAATTACAATAAGAGACTAATTTCAGAGACTTTACATATTAAAGAACAATTAAATGGCATAAATTTAAAGAAGGATACCGAATCTCTTGACGATGTATATGTACATTTGCTGGAACGTATTGGTGACAATAAACAATGACAATAATCAATAATAATAAATATATATCAACCACTTTGACTTTCTATGTTCAGAAACGTTATCATTTGTACATTGCTTTTCATACAGTAAGACGTATATAATTTGACTTGCAATTTTATTGAATAATTATCTTCTTTTATAATGTAAGTGTTCATTATTTGGTTTGTTTTTACATTTGTTTCATTGTCAATTTTTGATTTATGCAGTTTCATCCTACATATACAATTTTGACGACTTGATATCCATATATTGGCTCTGTGTATTTTAATTTTGACTAACGGACTGGAAATTTCATTTGGATTAATCTTTCTCGCATATAAACGAAGAATGGATTATAACAGGTTTTTTCATCGTTCAAGTAAATTGACTACTGCCATCGAATATTGGAGCGATTGTATTGTTTCATAAAAGGTTGCGACTGTGAGGATGTATTTTATATTTATTAGAGAATTTACAATGTTTTATAATTTTTATTTGTTTTTGCGTCTGTGATATGTAAACGTTTTAATTTGATTGGGGTTTTTTGTTGCGGCTGAGGATGACTTTGTAAAGTCGAAACGTTCTGCGTTAATTTTATCGATTGTAATAAATTTGTTTAATAGTAACAACAAATATAACTCATTATTTGTTTGACCTGGGAGGTATATTTAACTTTTATAATTTTGATTTTATATGAGCTGAAAATATTTATTAATTAAGCAAATTAATTTGTACCGCTAAATAAATAATTTACAATATTTTGTTCATTTAACGAAAAAATTGTATTTTGTTATATTAAAAAAATAATTTAATGATAATCAGCTCGGCGTATGATAAGATGGCGGAAAACGCGCGATTTTTATTACTGCATGCATGAAAGCAACATAAATGCGTTTTTGCTCGCACGTATGATGATCATGCGTGAAGGTAACGTGAATTTTATGTAAATTATATTCCTTCACAGATGACTGTATAATGCTACCTTTTACGCACGCACTCGTGCTTCTCTCACTTGTTAGTGAGAGTAACATGAATGCGTTATTGCACGAACTCATGACAATCATGCCGTGAGAGTAATATGAGCGCTCACCAATTGTTATTTGGGTGTATGTACTTATACTGTGGCAAGGTGCAGAACAAATTTACGTTCTATTTGCCGGAACTGACATCATTGCAAAATAGTGCACGCTTTCTATTTAAATGGAACACGGTAATTATACAAAATCATTGCCTCGCCTCTAAAATCGATCAAATTCGGCTTATTCGACGCGTTTTTGCATGAAACGAAAGAATCTGGCAGAAAAAGTGTCGCTAAAGAGAAACGAGTCTTTAACTAAGTAAGTAATGATAAAACAGGCGGGTCCAGCATCACCTTAAGGGGTTAGTACACTCCAGAGACGGCTTTTTTTGTTAATTTTTGGGAATTAATTTATAAAAAAGTATGTAAGCTAAACGGCTAATTTTTTTTTATTGTTTTCTACATATATCGAAGAACACGTCAAATTTTTTTTGAGTCAAAAAATGCAGAATTCGCTGAGTTACGCTGCTTCGCGCGTAACCATGATTTTTCGAGGTGGCCTGTGGTGGTGTACATGGTTTGGCAAAAACCAGTAGTCTGGAACAAAAATAAAAAATTTGTGATTATCTATGATATACTGGCTATCGGCTAACGGAGCCTTTTTTTTTTTAAATTTTTGGCGCCGAGAAAAAAATTCCTGAATTTTTAGTTTCATTTTTGGTCAAAAAAAAAAAGTTATTATTATTAATAACTTTTAAACAAAACAAAATATTGAAAAAACCGTCCGTTAGCCGAAAGACACTAGTCTTTAGTATATGTGTACCAAATTTCAAGTCGATTCGTTAAATAGATCCCGAGAAATCGTGTACACCGTCTTGAAAAACATAGTTTCGAGAAAAACGCGTTTAAAGTTTTGGTACTAGTTTTTTCAGTGATAAAATTTATTTAAGCATCTTACCCTTAATCTGCCATTCCTGCCTCATAAAAGGAATTTTCTTCTTCACATTCTTAACCCGTTCTTAGTTTCTTCGCAGAAGCACTTGTCGAAGCCGTTTCACTCTCAAACATATGACGATTCGGTATCGCCGGTCTTTTTTTGTTTTTGAAAATTCAATGAAAAAAAATTCTAGCGGGTATGAGACCTTTTGCCTTTTATTCTAGAGGGTTCAAAGTATTTTTTAAGCCAATAACCAAATTTTCGATTTTTTAAAAATTCTGGAGTGTACTAACCCCTTAAGGGAGTTAGCAGCCTAGTAGTTATATAGAAGTCTGTGCCCTTGTCACCGTTCCATTTTTATTTGAAACATTTTTTCGTATTGTCAAAAATAAACGAAATATGCAAGATGTGTGTGTGTGTTGTTCGATTTAAGTGGACCACCCGGTATATTATATAATATATGCATAACATATATATATATGCGTGTTTTGTATGATCGACTGTCAATCATCGCGTAATCTCTGTTATCTTTCTGCGTGATCTGAGAACAAGATGGCGATTAAATCTAAACTTCGCGCTTGACTCAAATTTTTTCAGTGGATAATGTGGAATAATGATGATGACAGTCACGGATTTGAGCTGATTTGGGCATGGCAACATAAAGAAATATGAGAACGAGAAAAAACTTCGTGCGTGATAATATTGTAGCGATGGGTGTGAAATAAAATATACATAGATGTACACGTGAATAGGTGGCGGTGGCAGCGACGAGAGTATATATATTTCAAAAAATCGGCAGAGAGAAAACGTGGAATTGAGCGAGACGGAGCTGAGTAGGGCGCCGCGCCCGGTCAACAATAATACCAGTCATCGGCCATCACCAATCGCGGAACATCGCGGAATCCGGTTCCGCTTTCCGCATTTCCCCTCGAGTTTGAATTTTGTAACGGTCTCTCGACACGGCGAGTGCGAGCGTCCCACCCTGTTTCTGTGACGGAGGCATCGCGGGTGTACATACACGGAGCATACTTGGGTTGGGGATCGCCGGACGCGCGCGGTGTGGCGCGGCGCGCCAGCCTGACGTAACGCACCTCGAATTTTTGCGCGTGTAGGCTGACTACGGTGTGTAGGCAGAGACCGCCGCCACCAACGATTAATCCAAAGAGACCGGAGACTTCGCCTAGTTACCCGCCCACTCCCACTGCTCCCGCGTGTTTACTGTGCGCCCGCGTTATATCGCGCTAATTGAACGCTACTCCTATTTGCATTAACGTCGCGCTGATGACAGATCCACCTGATCGGTATCTGCTACTGCGCCGTACACCCACAACTGGATCACGATGGAGGACGCGAACGAGATTTTGGCGTGCGCGGCTGAATTCGTAAAAGGTAATCTGGTTTGGATTAGAATCTATTTTTGATGACTGCGCGAGGAAGTGCTTGCCCCTGGTAACTGATTGCCAAGTCGGAGTTGTCGTGTAACAGTTTCGCTTCGTTACAACGAGACATCTGCGTTTGCGAGGTCTCCGACAGAAAAATGTTCTTTTTTATTTAAATGAATGATTCATATAAATTTATTGCATGTCGACGCATTATCAAATTATATTTTATTTAAAACTATAATTATTACAGTTTTCAGACATTTAAATACTCTCTTTCCCCCCCTCTCCCTCTCACTCTCTCCTTCTTGGTTGTTTCCTCCAAAACAGCATTTGTTATTGCAGTCCTACAATTAAAATTGTAACCTGCCAATTCTAACCGACCAATTATAAATTTTACATTATTTTATATATAAAGTTATTAATACATCCTGAACATAAAGTCTTTCTTTTACTTGATATATTTGATGAATAAATCATTTTTTCTTTCAGATCGATTGTATTTTGTAACATTAAGAACAGCAATGAAACCAAAAAGTAATCCAAACACACACTACTTCAGTATTGACAATGAGTTGGTATATGAAAATTTTTACTGCGACTTTGGTCCCCTAAATTTGGCCGTGCTATACAGATACTGCCAAAAAGTTAATAAAAAGTTAAAAGGCATTGCACTGAGCAAAAAGAAACTTGTGCATTATACAACAATGGATTCGGAGAAAAGAGTTAATGCTGCATTTCTCATAGGAAGTTACGCGGTAATACAGATTTTTTTTCTGTTATAATTTTGTATCAGTCAACATATAGGATGACAAAAAAAGAGTAGCTACAAAAGTTTGTGTCTTATTGAATTATTAGGCAAGTTAATATTATCTGTTGTCATTTTGACATCATTTTGACCTTAAAATGATTTGCTATTTGGTAGTAACATATTTTATGCATGATACATATTTTAAGTATGTATGCATATGTATACACATAACACACAAAATTTTAATTTTTTGTGTTTCTACCCATTGAGAAAAAATTACATGATTTGGAGTATTAGTTTACATCTTACAAAAGGATGCAAAGACAGCTGATGAGATCACTATTCTATCAATGAAATGTGACTTACATATGCATGATTTATGAATATTGATACATTGTTACATACTATACATCAATACCGCACACATAGGCATATATTTTTGTAAAAGATTTTCATATTGAATTATATTCATATTGAATGTTTAATGTTCATTTCCACCAATGTGGATCAATTTTAATCTCGGTTCAACTTAGTCTTCATGTTTTTCTAATTCTAAATATTAGGTAAAGATGAACAGTAAGGTAAACCGAGATTAAAGTTACTCCACATTGGTGGAAACAGGCATAAACCGGTATTCATAGTCAGTTCTTATATTCAAGACCGTCTTAAGTTAGTTTTGAGATGCCATGAACCAATCAGAGGACAACATTATTGTCTTAAGACATTACTTAAGACAGTCTTGAAATAAGATGATGACTGTGAATATCTGTTTATGTCCGTTTCCACTAATGTAGATTAACTTTAATCTCGGTTTAACTTACTGTTCATCTTTTTCTAATTTTTAGAATTAGAAACAGAACGAAGAGCAAATTGAACTGAGATTAAAGTTAATCTATATTGACGAAAATGAACATAAGTCTAAGAATTCGACCTTATTTCTTTGTATAATCTACTAATCTGGAAACTCCAATTATATAGTATAGGTACAAATTATAAAGCTTGTTTATATCAAGTAAATGTCATGATTTTTTGTTCTTAGTGTAAACCGTATAAACTCTATCCATCAAACTACTATCAATGTATTTACTTTATTTTGAAAAATAATTTACGAAAACCCTTCACAAAAATTATGTTCAATTGATAAAATAGACGCTAACATTCTTTTAAATAGTAAAGAGATTCTGAAAAATTTTCACTGGATAGTGAACTGAAGTTTATTTTGTTAATTGCTTGATGGAATTTATCCATCAAAGATATGCGATCATCGTTAATGTGTTCCTGAAATGTTTTAAAGTTTGTATTAAAACTAAAGGTGATCATTTGAAATGTTAATTATTATTTTTGATTTTTAATAAGATAACTAATAATTTGATAAACACAATACTTTGTAACCAAATTTTTTTTGTAATTCTATAGGTTCAAATTTAATGAAAAGAGAGAGAGAATTTATTTATTATTGCATAAAAATCTACTTTTTTATTTTCAGATATTGTATTGCAAGCATACAGCACAAGAAGTTTATGAATGTTTAACTAAAAGTCCAAATAGTCCTTCATTTATCATGTTTCGTGATGCATCTGTTGGACCACCATGCTTTCAGATATCATTAAGAGACTGTCTAAGTGCTATATACAAGTGCCATCGACTTGGTTTCTTTAATTTCGAAGATTTCTGTGTTAAAGAATATGAACACTTTGAAAGAGTTGAGAATGGAGATTTAAATTGGATAGTTCCTGGAAAGTTTATTGCTTTCTGTGGTCCACATGCAAGATCTAAAATGGAAGATGGTGCGTATCTTCCATCTTAGTTATATTAGTGATGTGTAGAATTGTGTGGATGAAGAAGAATGCAATGAAAGGGAGTCTGGTGAGCAAACAGATCCATGAATTGAATGTTCGTGAGCGCAAAAGGAAGAAAACACAAGTATGAGCAAAATTTGGAGATGAATGTGTGACAATAAATCAGAAGAATAAAAAGATACTTTTTTTTTTAAGGACTTGTATAGCAAAAATCTGTATCTGTACATTTAATTTTTGGCTTTTATCACTTAAATCATCTAGTTTGATAATAACTGTATGTAATGATAGTTATATGATTATGTAAAATAATGCATCAAGAGTTACATACTTTTTCCACAGGTTATCCACTTCATGGTCCAGAATGGTATTTCACATATTTTCGCCGAAATAACGTAACAACAATTATACGGCTTAATAAGAAGGTTTACGATGCAGCGAGCTTCACTGATGCTGGTTTCGTTCATAAAGATCTGTTTTTTATGGACGGCTCAACACCGACGGACGCAATAATGCATCAGTTTCTCAAAATAACGGAAAACGCAAATGGCGCGGTTGCCGTACATTGTAAAGCAGGTCTCGGTAGAACAGGTTCTCTCATAGGTTGCTACATTATGAAGCATTATCATTTGACGGCTCACGAAACAATCGCCTGGATAAGGATATGTAGGCCAGGTTCTGTAATTGGGCATCAGCAACAATGGTTGGAGAGGTGGGTGTGTATATATTTGTCACTTTTTATTTTTATTATACTAGATTATGAAAATTATATAATGTATTGTAATAAAAAAAAATTAATATTTTTGTGTTCTTTAGAAAAGAAGTATATCTTCGATCGTTATTGAAAGAGCCATTGCAATCTGAAAATGGAAATTCGGTGCATGAATATGGGATATATTCGATAGCTGGTAGACCTAAAGCAGCCTCTTTCCAAGGAGATGTAAAGAATCTGATGGAAGATAATGTATCAGGAATAATGCATCGCGTGGATGAAATAAAATTGGACGATCCTGGACCAGTAGCTGGGGCTAGCGCCACGAATAGATATAGTACGTTGACTCAAGGTGATAAATTGTGCAGAATTAAAGCCAGAAGAAGAGGCATATCGACAGCTCAAACTTCTCTTAATACAAGTACAGGAACATCTACTGTTGTACAGTAAGTATAAAGTATATTTATTATGTTTCAAAATAATCTTTTGTTCTTAAAGGGTATTTTTGGCCATATTTTGAGACGATTTTTCCTTTGGCAAAAATTTGTCCGAAACTTAGTTTTTAAATTATAAAGAGAAGTAGCGTATTATAAGTTGAATTCGGAAGGTAAGCAGGAGCGGCACGCTTACCGATATACCGCATACGGAGTCTTACGCGCTTGCACTCGCGATGTTAGACCAACAGTCACATGATAATACACATGTCCAAGGTAATGCATTTGAATTCTCTCTTTCTCTCATTCCTATGCACTCATTCACTTATTCAATTATCTACATTAATTATTACTAACTTTAACTTAAAAATATAATATCGAAGTACCTATTTATTTTATATATATATATATATGTATATATATAATAACACACACCCACCTACCAGGGTGACCTATTTTAATCTATCACCCCAAATATTTCCATTCTATTATATTTTACAAGAAAATGTTTCAAATAAAAATTGTATGGTTTTAATGGGGCCATAAAATGGTACCATTGGTTTAACCTTGGTTAGTCGCTTAAAAATCACATGAAGGTCAATTTCTTAAATTAAACCTATTTTTCATTACATATTCTTGTAGCTTGATCTTGAGAGCGCTTTCCAAAACACTATAATAAAATATTTTTTCATTAAATATTTGTGAGGTTTAAAAATTACAATACTCTGCCAGCATTAGCGTTATTCGACTGTACAACCCCCATGTGGTACATCTCGGATAACGCTAATACCGGCAGTACCGTAACTTTTAAACCTCACAACTCGACAAATACTTAATGAAAAAATATTTTATTATAGTGTTTTGGAAAGCTCTCGAGATACAAGAATATGTAATGAAAAATAGTAGGTTTAATTTAAGAAATTGAAGATGACCTTCATGTCATCTTTAAACGACTATCCAAGGTCAAACCAATAGTACCATTGTATAGCCCCCTTAAAGCCGTACAACTCTTTTGTCCGAAACATTTTCTTGTAAAATGCAAGGGAACGGAAATATTTGGGGTGATAGATTAAAATAGGTCATTCTGCATATATAATATATATCTTGCTTTGTGTTCTAATAAAAGCTAAGTATTAAAGAATTTTTGTTACTACAAATGTACAATCAGACAAAATAATAGCACGAAGTCAGTATAAATATTTACAAATTGCATCTTAAGAAACAGACGTAACACGTTTCTTGTAAGAAACGACTGTTTCTTGATATTGAATCAGTTAATAATATGGAATAAAAATCGTAGTTAATTACGAGTTAAAAATTATGAAACACAGAAATTCGATAATTTTACAACATAACTAATACGAAGCCTATAAGTCTAGCTGGATCTTAGTTGCTTATACATATATAATTTCGCGTGAATTTATATACTGATATACGTAATCTTTGACAGTCTTTAGAATTTAATATTGTTTATTTACGTGTCTGAAAGAAAACGTTTGTCACTTTACATATATCAGTTGCGAGGAATATTACTAAGGCCTCGGTAGTCTCGGTAGGCTAGAACACTTGCGCGTAAAACAAGCGATCCGGATTCGACTTCTGACCGAGGTAATATTTTTCGCAATAAGAATTATTTTCAGATTTTAATATAGTTTAACATCGATATAAAATGCCAAAAGAGCATCAATTAATTATTAAATTGTTAATCAATTTAATTTGTGATAGTACTGCGGTAGTTTATTAGAGTTGCGTTTCAAGGCCGACAATCGTTCGGCGCGCAGTTTAGAAAGACAACATATATCACAGTATATAAAGTCACACGAAATTATATATAAGCGACTAAGATCCAGCTAGACTGTTATAGACTTCGTATTCGTATTAGTTATGTTGTTACATTGACGGTCTTCAGAATTTAATATTGTCGATAATTTTACTCTCCAGCTTCCGGAGAAAGACAAATAATTTATGTCGGATTATTGTCTAAAACAGGAATTTATTGCAATGAATTTCCATAACAAATGTAACATTTTACGCGGATATTTAAATCAAAACTATTGAAGAGTTTAAACACGTTTAAGGAGCGTAGGTGTGCGCGCGCACGTGAGAAAAGAGAGACAATTCGAATGTATTACTGCAGGCATGTGTACTATCGTGTGGTCTAACACCGCAGGTGTGAGCGCGTAAGGCCCCGCATGTATCGGTGAGCGCGATATCCCTGCTTACCTTCTGTACTCGACTTGTAATATGCTATTTCTCTTTACAATTTGAAAACCAAGCTTCGGGCAAATTTTTGTCAAAGGAAAACCGTCTCAGGATACGGCTATGTATATGGACAATATGTCTCTTTTAGGACAAAAGGTTATTTTAAATCATCCTGTGTATAGGTATGTGTATGTATGTATAGGGTGTATCCTCTAACTTGATCATTTAAAATATCTCCGTTGTTTTTGATGATACGGAAAAATACTACAGGAAAAAGTTGTTTGATTGGAAGGGACACATATTATGAAGAGCAAAAAGTTTTTCTCAAGGTCATAGTTTTTGAGATTTCAAGATTCTTGAATTTTTTTAAATGAAATAGCATATATGGAAAAAAGAAAAGTATAGCATACTTAAGTAGTTTCAATGCAGATATTCATTTACTTTAATTTAAAAGACGTTAGAAATGGTTCACATTAACTTCCTTATTCGATTACGATAAATGATTGTTTCGCACTTCCAATGATTTCTGGGTGATTCTGATTGATATCGATGTACATCGAATTTTTTCTTGCATGTTTTTCGGTGTTGTGAGAGTATCACAATAAACTCGACTTTTTAAGTATCCCCATAGAAGAAAATTAAGTGGCGTGAAGTTTGGCAACCGAGTCGGCCAACAAATTCGTCCACGCCTCAATCCAGCGATCGGGAAACATTGTGTTAAGCATGAAACATTGTGTTTGCGTGCGATAAATGCATTATGTGCCGGGCAACCATCCTTCTGGAATCACATTCTAATACGATGGCTAAATGGAATTTCTAATAATATTTGTAACTCATTTCTTATAAAATTTGTATATTTCTGTCTATTTCTTTCCAAAAAAATAGACTAATAACGCAATTTTCAATAATACCACATCAGACATTTATATTCCATGGATGTTAATGTTGTACTTGTCGAAGCTAATGTAGATTGTCAACGGCCTAATAATGCATATTGTGTGTATTTAACTTTGCATGATTTATAAAAGATGACTCATCTGTAACAATACACAATCGAAGAATTGTTGATCAATCTCTTAACTAGTATAGGGTCCATTCGCAGATCCTTTGCAGATTCTATTTCGAAAATCGTTATCACCAAGAGAGGATGAGTTTTTTAATTCATCGACTGATCAATCGATGAATTAAAAAACTTACCCAGATTTATGTAAGCATATGCGATAAAGATAAAAATTATGGCGTTTTAAAGTAATTACTGCCGCCAAAACAAAGGTTTCCGCTTCTTCATGACATCAGTTGTCGACAAATAGTATCAGCATGATAGTTGTCATTTCGAACATCTTCTAAATTAAGTAAATAAATATCTTCATTAAAAGCACTTAAGTAAATTAATTTTTCTTTTTCTCATATAAATGTGACTTTTTTTGATGTCCAAGGTCATTTGAAGGACAACGTATCATATATGGTTGAATTTGTTTTTTTATGAACTACATTATTACATTAATAAAAATATGCTATTTCGTTTAAAAAAAAATTGCAAGGATCTTGAAATCTCAAAAACTGTAACCTTGAGAAACATTTTTTGCTCATCGTAATATGTATCTCTTCCAATCGAACAACTTTTTCCTGTAGTATCCGTATCATCAGAAACAACGGAAATATTTTAAATGATCAAGCTAAAAGAAACACTGTATGTGTGGAGGGGGAAGGGGGAGAGAGAGAGAGAGAGAGAGAGAGAGAGAGAGAGAGGAGGAGGAGGAGAAAGGGGGGGTCTTTTATCTTTAAAATTGAAATTAACATTGTATCATATTGTAGTCCGTGAGAGAGAGAGAGAGAGAGAGAGAGAGAGAGAGGAGGAGGAGAAAGGGGGGGTCTTTTATCTTTAAAATTGAAATTAACATTGTATCATATTGTAGTCCGTATTTGGGACCCTTATTACAAACGAGAAGTCAAAAAGGAACTATTACTACTCTAGTGGGAAATAAAGAAAGAGACCCCACCAAAAGACTGTTATCACGATCTACTGCAACAACAGTCGTGAAAAGGTTGAACAATCATTTATTTATCTATTTTTCTTCCTATACCTTATTTTGTTTCTTATTTTTATTCAAAATGTTTGTTTATATCTTGCCTTTTTCTTCTTTCTTCTCAATAACATTATTCATTTATATTTTCTCATTTGCCTATTTTCCTTCTAAATTACGCTTACATACATTCATTAACACACGCTTCTTATATATAAGCTCGATAAAACGAATTATATTATTATCAATATTGCATGCATATTTGAAAAAATAGGGTCTCTTTATCTTGACTGGAAATTGTAGAAACAGTTGGTTGGTCAACAGTAGCTGTGATCCATCTTCCTGCCGTATTAGGTCTAAACCGGCAACACAGAGTTATAACATCAACAACAATACAACTACCACCAATCCTGTTACATCTTTAACCGTATCAAAACCAGTGAGAAGGGCAAAACGTACCTCCTGCATGGTTGCACAGGCCCACGCTACAAACTCGTCTGCCAATCATTCAGTATCGCAACCGCAACAACGCATGAATATGATCCTCAGGTCGGCAGATCGAGTTACTCGCTATTCGCTCAGGCAGTAAGTCAATAACTGTCCCTGTTTTCTCGAATTTGGATCTAAATTTATGATTGTGCAGTTTTTTCATCCTTGCTTATTTGATGTATAAGTGAAGAACTTTTATAGTATCCTCTGTTCCACTCCGCCAATTTCCATTGCTTCTAATTCTTTAGCTTTGCTTCATTATTAACGTATAAGTATATTTTCTATACACGACTATCTAATCTTATATTTTCATTTTTTATATTTCTCACTACTTACCACCATGAATATACAGAGATATAATTTATGAGGCTTTATAGATTTATATATGTATGTTTATAATCAAGTATATAAATATCTCAAAGATATTTGATAACATTTTTTTTTATAAATTAACAAAGTATTTATATTTTATTTGTTATAAATTTTAAACTATTGTTTAATTCTTTTATTAATTTTTAAAGAAGGAAACAATTTGAAATACTAAATTGTTATAATTGTGTAATCGTTCTGTGTTATTAATTTTAATTAATTGTTCTGTATTGCATGTAGCATGATTCCTAAATTTTGTTTTCGTTTTGTTAGCATGTATTACATTCTACGAACCTTATATAGGCCTGGGCAAATAACAGTTGAACAGAAATGTTATTATACAGGTTGAAGTTTATATTATACGTATGGTCCAGGCCTCGTAATAATTTACATTTAATGCTTTTGCAATAAAACAAGTAGCACCACAGGTGGCTAACGAACCGATCCCATTTATTTCTGTGACTTGCAGTGCGCGCACAACAAAAAGTTATAAAAGTGCATTTATCAGATGACTAACCGATATTCCCAGTGGCGTTGGGGAGGACTGTCAGGTAACTGGAGCATCTCACCAGCGCCGAAGATCTCATCGCTTAAACCCCATCATACAGTAAAAAGCACTTCACTTTGATCTTCAATCCTTCAACTCAAGCAAGTTTTGCCCAGGCTTTTATATCATAAATCAACGAAGATCAAACTATATTTCTACCAAATCATCAACACTGCATTAATATGGTTTTGCCATATCTGCATCATAGGATATAAATTTGTGCAGTGATATTTAATATATAGCTTACACAGCTTTCAATTGTTCTTCCATATGTCAAAGTATTGCGATGCGTTGAATGTCTGCAAAAAAAAAAGAATCAGATTTCTCTTAATAATATCATGTTTTAACTTTAATACCATCTTTCTGCTGGTCAGAATAAGCACTTATAGATATATATTTTAAAAATCATTTCTCGATTTATAAATATAATTTTTGTTTTCAATAATTTTTTCAATTTTGCCAAAATGTTAATTTAGTGCTCACATATTCTCTTCGCAACGTTGAATATATACATATTTTACAGTGTAACACAATTTAAGAACACACTCCTTCATTTTATTTCATTTTGTCAAAATTTGAAAAATTGGAAGCATTGATGTAATTATCTTTATAATAATTTAATGAAGTAAGATATATCATGTTTTCTATTATAACTATAATCAATATATATCTTATTATTGTTAAAAATGTAAAAAATTTTGTTATTGTTAATTATAATTGTTAAAAATGTAAAAAATCTATTGCATGATCAATATTGAGAAGGAGTGTAATGATAAATTTCTTGCCTCCAAATTAAAATTTATTACACTTTGTTGTAGCATATTATACAAGTTTTTATATATTAGGTGTACAAATTAATTCTCGACCTCTATCTTTCAGCAACCTCAGAACTCGGTTAAGTTGAACTCCCTCCCCTCTCTGTAGTCATTTGAAGTGCCTCCTACTGACAAAAATACGTCACAAAATTACACAATAAAACCATGTAATTAAAATAGGTAAATTATGTAACGGATTGTTCCAAATCAGTACATGATTTTTTTTAAATCACATAATTTGAAAAGTCACAATAATATGTTTTTTCTTTTTATTTCTATTTAATTTTTTAAAATTCGATAACTAAAATTACATAACAGATGATATTATTTCTAATATTATATGATTTTTCAAATTACAATTAGTGATTTTAAAAAGTAAGGTAATAATTTGGAACAATCCATTATGTAATTTACTTGTTTTAATTACATGATTTCGTTATGTAACTTGGTGATGTGATTTTTTCAGTAGGACCATCTTTTAGCTTTGAAATGAGGTATATTACTTAATCCTCCTGTGAATATAACCTGAAAAATTAGCAGTAAACACAATGTAGTTCGAAAAACATTTGAGAAACTGCTTTCTTTTCGCGTTTCAACTTAAAAAAAAAACGCGGCTGAGGCAAAAGAAATTATTTGTTCAACTTTGGGCAAAAATGCTGTATCGTACGTGTTACAGTATGTGTAAAAAATGGTTCCAACAGTTTCGAGGGAAATTTCGATCTTGAGGATCGTGAACGCCCTGATCGATCAAAAAAGTGAAAGACGTGGAGTTGGAGGAAATTTTGAACGAGAATTCTTGCGCAATTAGAACTTGCAAATACGCTTGGAGTAACCCAGCAAGACGTTTCCTATTGTCTAAAACATCTGGGGAGGATTCGCAAGGAATCCCAATGAGCTCACTCCCGAAAACAAAAGCAGACGCCACGATACTGCTCTCTCCTTGCTCTTTAAGTTCAAGGAAAAGAATTTTACACAAAATTGTTGCTTGTGATGAAAAGTGGATATTGTACGAGAATCCTAAGAGGTGAAAATCATGGGTCCATTCAGCCATGAGTGAGCCGTCAACAAGCATCGTAAAACCGAACATCCATGTAAAAAAGTGTTGCTATGCATTTAATGGGATTAGAAAGACGTGATCCATTATGAGTTGCTCCGACAAGGTCAGACCGTGACTGCTGAGCTCTATCAACAATTGATTCGTGTAAATGACGCTCTTGAAGAAAAAAAGGTCATTTACTGGCAGTGGAAGAAGGAAGGTTATACTGCTGCAGGATAATGCCCCCGGGCCCCCATGTAGCAAACAACACTCTGGAAATCATCTCCGATTTAGGCTGGGAAATTTTCTGTCATGCGGCGTATACTCCAGACTTAGCCCCTTCGGGTTATCACCTATTTCGAGCTCTACAACATCACTTAACTGATTCTCGATTCAAGTCAGTTCAAGACATTGAAAAAAGCCTCAATGAATTCATTAATTCAAAGCCACCATCATTTTTCCGGAATCTGGAATTGCTTGAGAGATGGAAAAAATGTATAGATAGCGAGGGAGATTACTTTGAAGATTGAGTTTGTATTCATGTTTTTATAAATAAATGTCAAAGTAAGTCAAAAAAGGCCGAGAATTAATTTGTACACCTAATATATCTGTATTATATATATATAAATTTTTATTATTATGAAAAAATTATTGCAAACTGGAATTGGATATAGAGTTAGCGAAGATAAAAATTTATTTAGTATTATCGTGATATAAAATACATAGTACGTTAGAGAAGCATATAATTGTCTTATATTTCGGTCAATTTAAAACAAATGTTACAGAGCTCGCAACACTATAATTATGGCACTTGTTGAAAATTTACTTCTGTTGCTTTTAATTTGAACAAACACATTAGATGAAGTCATGCAATACCAGTGTATATAGTGTTATATATGCAGTTTACATACGATTTATGCTACTTACTTTGCCAGCGATGTTATTTAGCATATTTCCTGCTAAATGCATTCATTAAATTATAGAGATCTGTTATATATATATATATATATATGTGTGTGTGTAAAACTTGGATATGTTAAGTTATCCATATATCGCTTATTTAATTAAAAACAAATTAAATGTAGGTTTTTGCAAATATGCAATGCGACTTTATATTATTTTTTCTTGTTTTATAACACCAATTAGACGTACTGATAAACATATTGATAATAACAATTTTAGCAACATTTTATTAAAGATACAATTTTAATATGTAAGAAATATTATTTATCTTCAGGTCTTTTTGTAAATATATCATGAATAAAATTTAATTGTGTAATTTATATAAATATTTTGATGCGATTACTTCAACGTAAAACATATCAAAAAATGCGATATGAAATTATAACAATTACCTATTATACATTGAAAATGTTTTTGTGTTGTGAAAAAAGAAGAAAACATTTTAATAACGTTTTATGCAAAATATTAAATAATTAATATTTTCGTTGATTCATTATATGATTCAAATTGGCCTGAAAATAAGATAATGTGATATTGGATATACTGATGTAGAGCACTTTGTAAATTGTACATAAACGTATAAGTTGATTATAAAATATTTGGAATACCTTTAAGTACAAGTTAAAATTAAGGTGTTACTCTTACTAATACCTTTTCTGTACATATTAAGTTATTTTAATAATCTCAAAAATTGCACTTTACAATATGTAACGCTTGAAAGAGCGTCTGCAGTGCAGTATTTTTATTAATAGAAAAGAACAAAAATTTTTACATACAACAAAAAGATTATAATAAAACTGTATTTATAATTGCTAAATGAACAACTTTATTTTAATGAGTATTACACCAAGGTGACAAGATATAGTTACATGAAAATATATCCTTAAATAATAGATTTATATAAGAGAATAATATTTGCCATAAAGTTTTATTACCTTTACAACCCATCCAATTAAAATTAATATAAATTATTAAAACTAATTAGTAGATAACAAAAGTAAAGTTTTATTTTTGTGTTTTTTTATATTATATATTGATGTGATCTTTGTAATTGTTATGTTATACATAAAAATAAAATGTATTTAACGATTTTAACTTATAATCTTGTTATAACATAAATACTTTTTTTTTTATTTTCATATATACCTACATATATAAATATATTGATTTACTTAATTGAGCATATATCAGTCACTTATTAAATGTACAGAGATGACCGCAACAATTTATTAAAATTTAGTGAACCATAGAAGGTCTCTTAGATTCTATAGTTTAAACTTTATTTTTATCTTTCTTGTTTACAATATTTTCTAATTTTATATTTCTAATGGTCATTTCCACTAATGTAGATTAACTTTAATCTTGGTTCAATTTGCTCTTCGTCTCTTTCTAGTTCTAAAAATTAGAAAACAGTAAGGTAAACCGAGATTAATCTATATTAGTGGAAACGGGCATAAGTATTTCAAATAATTGATGAAAATAGTCTTTTCATGCCAGTTAAAAATCAAAAAGAGAAAAAAAAATGTTTTAAAATGTAACAAAAAATTTAAATTATATCGCCAGAATCTGTTCTGGCAGCAAAAAGGAATTGTCAATTTTGAATAATATATCAGTAATAGATAATATAGATGGCAGTCGTAAGAGTAACTATAATTGTTGTTTATAGGCGTTGTCACGCTATATTTAAGATTTTATTACAATAAAATTTATTATTTTTTATGAAGTTGATACATAGAACTAAAAATATAGACATGTCAATAGTAGTATTTAGTGCAGGATTCTCGACTAAATATACACATACAAATGCTTTTACACATGTATATGTAATTTATACATTAGATCTATATATATGTACATATAATGTGTATGTGTATATGTATATATATATATATATATGTATACATTAGCTGCATATTCATTTATACAATGAATATAGAAGTCATAGCTTTTTTTGCTAATTATAGTGTTTAAGAACACATGTTATTAAAATGTGATGTTTAGGAAAATAAAGTCTATTTGTCATTGGGTTCCTAAAAATTTGTAGAGAGCATTTATTTATTTTGAAATAAAAGCATTGTGTAAATTGTAAAATGAAAGCAGCAAGTCTACGAAATTCGATTGTTTATTAAAAACGTAATGTTTAATTGTAATACTATATGCAACGAGATCATTATTTCTTTAAGAAGACATTATTACGAAATTAAGAAGTAATTATTACGAAAATAATTGGTCAATTTTAAGTAGAATTGTAAATCGCATAAAAAAATTACAGTACTACTGTAAGTTATTACAAGTTCCGAGCTTTACAATTCTGCTTAGAATTTATCCATAAATCTAAAAGTGTGTATAAA